AGCCGCGATGATACCCACGACCGACGATGATGGAGTAATCTCTCGTTACTTCAATGGCTCGCCTAAGGACTTGCTTCACTCTCAAGTCCTTGGCAAGGGCCCTCTGGTTCTGTTCTTGGTTTTGTGTCAAACTCGCTAGACGGTGTATTAGGGTCGACACATTAACCGAGTTGAGCTCATGCAGATGGGCTTCTACTATCATAAGAAGGCCGTGAACAGACCTGACCACATTTCCTGACTAACACACAGAAAAGGGCGAGCAGACTACCGCGACTTTGCAGCGGCCAAGATACTCCGCTGAATTTCGAGTTCATTTGCGGTAGGCTGATGACGGTGATTGTCGTCGGGCTCCCCCTGTCTATTGCGACCATTGCTGATGTTAGGCTGAGAATGGCACCGTCCTCTCTTCATACCAAGAGGTGGTTTAGTGACTACTCTGTATGACTCGAACCCCGGTGGCTTTCCCACATGCTGCTGGCCATAGCTGCTGCAGGCATCTCGCTTGGGATGCTGACCGAGATCACCACTGTAGACTGCAGCACTCCAGTGTCCAGTACTTCCTCATTGCATTCGATGAGCGTCTGCGGGGGCATAACAAGAGACGGCCGAGTCGACATAGGCCCTCCACTCTGCTGGGTCGCTTCATTCACTAATGCTGCAGCAGCCGCGGCAACTGCCTCGGCCTCCACGCCTATGGCGTCCTCCTGCTCCTCAGGGGCCACCCTCCTCAGGGGCCCACTCGTCTCGGCCCCTCCCTAACCATCAATATTCCACCTCGACGGCATACATCGTCACCCTACCTCCATTCTATCCTCTTGTTCTTCTTGGGGCTCGTCGTCGTGCTTCCGGCCCACTCCCTTGCCAGACCCTCGCTCGGCCTCTCCTCTAGGGCCCAAAGCTTCCCTGAGCACCGCTGCTTTCGCCGGCAACTTCGCTGTGGAGGGCGATAAGATACGGCAGATCCTAAAATGATCGATATCGCGGCTCCACTGTAGAGATCCGATGGGCTCACCAAAGAGTCAGCGGAATGCTAACTGCGTAATACAGAATGTCGTTTATGTCAAATACCATCTCGCTATAACTGCCGTTGGTAGTTACATAATAACTGTGAAGTGGACGAGGAGTGGTATGCAAATAAAGAATCCAACATTCCAGGATAGGCAAGAAACATCGCTCGGAAACGTCATGTTTCATATCGTGGTATGGAGTGGTCACTAGATACTGTCAAATAGGCCATCAACAACGCCTGGGGCCTTCCTCTCAGTAGGCGGCTGTGCTCTGATTGGCCCCCGAGTAAGGGCAGCCTCCAAGTCCCTTCGCATGACGGATCTCCGCATGATCTGTTGCCCAGCTTTAGGCGTTGCGCTCGGGTATGCTCGCTCGACCACATCAAGGGCTCCTCTGTCCTACAGATCGGCTACTAACCCTAACGTACCACACCACTGCTACTTTATCGGGCAACGCCGTGGACACTTCGGGCAACTGAGCTCGACACGTTCGCCATGCATGAGCGATGAAGCGTCGATCGTCTCCACTCAATGAGCTCCCATCGATGAGACGTCGGCTCAGCACCAGAAAACAGGAGGTAATCACTTCCACAAGGGGCTTCCCTAAGGCAGTCTAATCTGAGGAATAGTCGTCTACAGCACAACCCCACCATCACACAGCTCGGTCATCCCCAAAAGGCACGAGGAGATCTGAGTGAGCTCTCGAGTCCTGACTGACGTCAGCTGAGCTTTTTGAAGCCACTCGAATGCCATGTTATAGAGTGCCGTCATAGAGTCTATCAGAGGCCCGGTCTGCCGCAGCTGATTGGAAACGTGGTGGCCTGAGGCATCTCACCGACTTATGAAAATAATCTACCCCATGCTCGACTAAGCCTTACTGGGCCCCCGACTCTTCCGGATGCCATTCAGCTTCCTATGCACTGCATCAAGGGCCATGGACAGGGCGATAGGGGAGGCTTCTCCTCCTCGCTGAGTAATAGCGGTGAATAACGATACATACAGCGTGTTGTTGCCGAACCTAGTGTCACCACTATAACATGCCCAGGGAGATGCTGTTAACCCACTTCAGTTTGGTCAGTCCTTGGACGAGCATGCCCAGCTCCACTGTAGTAAACTCTTTGAGGCCGAGAGTGTTTAGGGCACAGTGAGTCATATGAGATAGCATAC